ATCAGCTTGACGTCATTGCAATATTGGTCGGCATCATCAAAGGACAACGACTCTTTTCAGATCGATCCATTGTCGTGGCATATTATGCAGCTCGGTCTCTCTCTCTCTACACATGGCGTTCGTGGAGTTTTGCCATTGGAAAGGCAGCCACACTATTGAAATCTCTTGGTCTACCTTAAATTCTGGAGAAATCATGAAATGCGGCAACTGATCGACATTTCTAGAGGGGATTAATGTTCGGTGTCAACGAAAAAGCTAATTGGTGTCAAGCCTCAGTCAAAAAACTTCATTACACCATCTGCAGCTCTATTCTCAGTTCTCTGCTCAGCAATTCTACACAATTGGGTCCTCATAATTACCCAAAGTGCCACAGGTCATCCACAAAGAGGAATTGTCCCTTCAGGCACTTGATCAAACATCATAAGAGCTGCCAAAGCTTCTAAATAACCACCAGCTACGCTGGAGATCTGATTTGGGAACCCAAAGATTATCAACCATCTAGATATCAACGTCAACAAACGAAAGAAGCCCACAACGCCTATGAGACCAAAAATGGTTCGAGATTAGTCCTATTGACGGCAAAATAAAGTCAAGAACATCAAGTGTAATACCTATCTTCAGGCTCGAGGGGTTCTCTAGCTTTCTTTTCGAAAGAAACAAGTGGTTGATAACCCTCGTGTGGACGATTCGTCGCACAGATATGATCGGTCTTGCCTCAGAAACCACTGCACAATGGTCAGTCTGCTCTCTCCAAGACCTTGGAAACCACTGCGCAATGGTCAGTCTGTTCTCTGTCTGCTCTCTCCAAGGCTTTAGAAACCACTGCACAATGGTCAGTTTGTTCTCAGCCTACTCTCTCTAAAAAACTATTGGGTCCTTCAATCAAGCACTGGATTCGCATGAAGGGATTCACATCTATCTCCCTCATAGTCTCGGTCAAAGATCAATACATCGTCTCTACTTAGGTTCTACAACAATAGTGTCGGTGTACTACTCGACGTTCACTAGAGTTTTCAGAAAGAAAAAAAAAAGGGGGGGGGGGGGGGGGGGGGATTCTCAATGTGGGATTTATTCTTATTGCATCTGTGGCCTTCATAAGGATACCACTTGATCTTGTTTCATCAATGCACGGCAGATTTGTCTTGTGGCAACCAATGTGAGCACTGGGGGGCAGGAACCTCTAAGGCGAGCACAAACACATCTCGAACATTCAAGATAATGACATAAGATATGGTTTTTTTGGTTCAAATGGGATTAAAGTCTGTGTACCCGAGAGACTTGGTGGGCCCTGGCCATAGACACGGGTAAGCCTTTGCTCGACCAAAGCACCAAAAGTCCTAATGTAGGCATAAAACTTCTAGGGAACAAGTTCGACTTGGACTCAGGAGTACTCCGTGTTGAAGGAGGCGAAATGAGACTTTGGGTGAGATCCTAGACCTAGTGCAATACAGTTACAAGGGAAAGCTTGACCCAACGTCAACATTAATGTCAGGCATGAAGACCCTCTCAAGTCTCACTGAAAAGGCCTTGAATTGCCTAACTACGGGTTTGATATATTCAAGACTCAGCTCGACAAGGTACGTTTGTATTTATTTCAATTAAATGTTATTTGAACATGATAAGAAGGGACAAGACTCAACGCCCAGTTGATCATCAAACTTGAGACCGTCGAGGCCAAGAAACGAATGTTCTGGCCTTCTTTTATGGACATTCTGAAAGAGCCGAGATTATGCAGTTCGTCTTCAGAGGATTGACTATTATTGTCCTCTTTAGGCTCACTTTGTCGCATCCGATTGTAATAACTCTTCTCAGAGTTTAGAGATTATTGTCTTCTTTGGGTGAGGTTGAGATCTATTTATGATTGTCCTGTTCCGGACTCGACTCTCTCCAATTGCTTGTTATGGTTATATTCGGTATTCCATTACTCAACTGCTCAACAAGGCACTTCATCAGTGTCGGCCTCTAGAGACACGTTTGAGATCTCTATATTCAGTCTCTCTTCTAGCAATTTATGTATTCGGTCCCTCAGGGGCCAGGTTTATTCGGTCCTTCTTCGAGCCTATTGGGTTGGCCTTCGGGGACTAAGCTTATGTGGTCTCTGTTCAAACGGATCAGCGACATCTATTATAGGCCCTTTTTGTTGGGTTTATTTGCCTTGGAAGATGCCTCTTGATTGTCTCATTCATGGCTCAACTATTATTATCCTTCTCGGGATTCTATTATGAGAGTATTGATCAGGATTTGATTATCTTCATCCTTCGGATTTGGCCTCTTAATAAGGCACTTTGTTATTGCACGGGCTGATGGGTTTCTAATGTGTTCATTGTTATTGCCTGAGCTTAGAACTGTTTATACCGTGGAGACGCCATCTATGGCACCAAGCAGATGCATTGTTCTAACTGTTGAGATATCACTCATTGCTCGTTGAGTATTTGAGCTTCGCGGTTATTGATCTCGGTATTCTATTATAAATGACAAGTGTATTCGGCATGTGCATGTATTAGTCTATGGTATTCGGGCTCCGTGCTCGCTTGACAACATATAGCGGATCTCAGCATATCTTCCTCAAGTTGCACCCTGGCAAAAAAGGGTATGGATATTATCTCTTGAGACGTGAGTATTCAGCATAACTTTCATCTCCTTCTGGGTATCCAAAGAAAATAAAAGTTGGGGGGCAATTGATGGAAAATTATTTGTCAGGTGGGTCCACCAACCCCACTCTCAAGGAAGAGGTATAAATGACTTAACAAATATCACAAATGAGACCTACTACAATAAATATATGGCAGGTAATGAGTGTTTTGGCAGGCTAATCCATGCTTATTTTCCTACATTGACGGCTGCACAGTACATGATGATAAGTGTTTCTAATTTTCTCTATATATATGGGTGAAGACCCAAGAAAGAGGGGGTCTCAAGTATGAGCACCTTGGCTTCATACTTCACACACACACCTATATTATTTTTCTTATTTATACACTCGTCTATTCCAGTTATTGATCGCGATACTGACTTAGACATTGGAGGGGCCTCCCTTGGCTCAACGTCGGGGGTCTCTCTAACCTTTTTCTGCCTTGCAGCTCATGGACTAGGTGATATTCGAAGATTAGGGGCTCATCTTCAACTTTTTCAATGATTGTGCGGATTTTTACCGGAACAATTCTAATCACAAACTATGTCGTTCTCTCCCAAGATTTTCTCTTCCTATACAATCTCGAGTAATGCTATTAGGACATAATTTATAGATATAATTTGAAGATATAATGAGTTATCACCAATGAAATGATAATAAATTCATTTAATGCTACAATGGGACTTATCATTAAATATATTTCACTATCATTTTATTGGTGACAACTCATTATGTCCTTAAATTATATCTATCAATTATGTCCTAATAGCATTAGTATACAATATCACACATTTATGTTGTCAAGTTATGTTTTTAACTTAATTACTTTTGTCCCTCTATTTTTAATTATGTTATTATTCAATTTTATTAGTAATAACTCAATAACACCAAGGTCGATCCTCAAAAAATTGGTTAAACACGAGAAGGCCAAAAAGAAATAACAATTTATCAAGAGATGAAATTGGGTAACTAGAATAAATTCTAGGGAAATTCTTATATAGGAAATATACTCTCTAGTTTCAGGAACTATTCATATATATTAAATATAATACCAATGCAATTATTTATTGTCTTAGTTGGCTTCCAACGTCAGTGTAATCACCTGGGAAATATAACTTTAAAAACCAAGTTTTTAATGTGCATTCTAAATAATAATTTTTTTTGAATATTATATTTTTTGTTTGATATTTATTATGAATATTTCAAAAATGTAATATTATTTTTGTATATAGGTGAAAATTACTAATATTTGTTTAATTGTTTATGTATAAATAGAGTGGGCATAAATACACTTGGGGTGTGTATAAATGGAATGAATTTAATAGTTTGAAATTAGGAAGTTAAATGGGGTGAAGAAGGATAATTAAAGGGTGAGAATAGCATCACCCGATTGACAACACCATCTCCTTTCTTTACTTGGGAAAAAACGAACACAAGAAAAAGGTGATATATTGTGGCAAACCTTCTAAATTCCACTGAGATGACTCTTGTACCTGAACTGAAACATCTTTCGCCTACCACCCCCTGTACCAAGTGATTCCCACAACTTGGTCTATAATTACGAAGAAGACATGGTCTGTAATTATGAAAACTTAGCAAATAAATTTTTAAAAATATAATAAATTATTAATATTTTTCAAACCCCAAGATTTCAGAAACCCAAGTTTGTAAAACTCTAAACGTATGCAATCAGGTTAAGGATGATTAAGAACTCACCTTTTTCACTACAGTAGCTCGTTGAATCGCAGTGAAGAGATATGTTTCTAAAATTTCTCAGCCTCAGATCACGTCCCTCTGGTTGAAAATGAAAGGGAGAGAAAGTATTTTAGAGAAACCGCATTTGTGGGCAAACTGGGATAAAAAGGGCCAACGGTGACGAGACCAGGAGACAGACCAGAGAGCTGTGTTGACAGGCTTGAGACAGAAAAAACCGGTGAGAGGAAGAAACACTGATAGAATAATGAGCGGCTGATTTCTTAGGGTTAAAGATTTTGGGTTCTATACCAGATATCTGACCCGTCCGGATTAAGGAGGACCCCCGGTTCACACCGCTTTCATAAAAAAACCCCGGGTCAAACAGGTAACTGACAGGCCTTATGCATAAACAATCCACATATAAACCTGGTCCAGTCCAGGCACAGGTTCACCAGGTTTCAGGGACAAACCGCCAGGCCGGGTTTTCACCTTTATATTTGCTTCAAGTGATTACCTGAATGAAAAGTCAATCAAACACTAATAATAAGATAGAATGCCCATCACTCTGATTTTTCCCATGACTCTGCTTCAAGCTTCTGCCTGTGAACTGTTTTACATTTTCTATCACAGAAACCTAATAGCTCATAGTCTCCCCAAGATCACATCATAATCCTCAAGCCAAAGAAAAGATTAGGAAGAAAGGAAACATTGAACTCGATTTTCTCTGCTCCAAATCATAAAGCATTAGACTATTCTTCAAGTCTATTACCGGCAAAGAACAACTTGGAATTGAAGCAAAATCTAGGTAAAAGAATAAGTTAAATAGAGCATCAAGAAACAATCTACTCGGATATTTTACCCTCAACTGGTGGTTTTTTGTTGTCAATGCAGCAGAACTTGCAGACTCTTCTGCTTCAACTAGTTTGCGGAGTCTTTCTTGAAGGGCTCGAACTCTGTCCTCAGTCTTGCGGAGCTTTCTCCATCTGTAGGTTGTCCAGAGGGCAAATCCTCCGTACACAACGATATAGGAACCCCATACATATGGATATGTTTCTGCATTCTGTTTGATTTTTTGATACTGTTCTTCTACCCAGCTAACAGCCAAAGGGCTTGCCGCTAGCTGATCGTCATCTCCTCCTTCCTGAGTTGCCATTCTGTCCTGTGTTGCACCTCTGCCATAAACAGATAAGGATAAATATGCCATACTAAAAAATATAGTGCATTACTGCACAGGGAAAAAAAAAACAGTACTGTTACTAATGTAAGAAATGCAGCATCATTTGATTTCTAGCCACTAATAAGTCTGCTGCCGACAATTACTATACACTTTATGTAGATAAACACAACACGCACACCAGCCAATTTACAGGTTTCAAGCTTTAATTTAACTCCATGACTACCATGCAATCAAATTTTAGTTAGTGAACGTGATTTTTCAAGAACTGACCCATACAAAGGCAGTTTGCATCAGTAGACTAGATGGAATCCACATACATTTGCTGAATTTTAAGCAGTAAAAGAACAAAATAAATAGCAAAGACAACTTATTTGGCTTTCCCTCAGTATTAATCCATAATATGCAGGTCAAAAAAAGAAACAAAATGGCAATTTGCTCGACTTTACCACACGAACAGCATGGTGCCATTTTTTGCGCTTTTTGACTAAGCAAGACTCATAAAAAGATTTGCTTTATACATCTATTATATCAAAAAGATCCAGTCCACGCCAATATTATTTTGTCATCCATGTACGACTTCAATACGACAGTACAACCACCATATTACACACCAGTCCATCAGCAACTATACTTTTGGTATGTTTGGTAGGAGAGATAAAAAAGGATGAGGGATGCATTTTCAATCCTTTGAGGAAGGAAAGATGTTTTTCCTCCTCCTTGTTTGGTAAGAGGTATGAAAAAGTAGAAAAAATAAATTTTTTATTGGTATGAGAAAAATTATAAAAAAAATACAACTTTTAAATTACATGAATACCCTTGTGCTTGTATAAAATATAGAATAAAAATATTTCATGGATCCCACCATTATGTTGGTTTGTGTTGGAAAAAAATGTGGACCCCACCACTTTTATCTTATGCATTCAAAACAACTATCACTTTTAAGGGGTATAATAGTAAATTTAATAAGTGTGATCATTTGCCAGCACTTCTTCCATTTTCCGCCCAAATTTGGGCGGATTACAAATGTTGGGCATGAGGTATAGCTTTTCTATCCTATTTTCCTTTCCTCTCCATTTTCTTTCCCAACCAAACTAAGTAAAGTCTTTCCCCTCCACTTTCCATCCATCCAATATTCCCTCGTACCAAATCGAGGGTTAAGACCAAGGACCTCAGTTACCACATTTCAGTCTTTTTTTCCACAACTAGTCCAGGCATCAATCCAATCAGCTTCACCAGAAGTAGGTTTCCAGATGATCAACCTCAACACCTGCACGTTTTGGACTCCAACACAGGAGGCTAGGTAGCAACCAATGTGTGACCTAAATGAATTTAGCTAGAAGCAAGCGTCACCAAAGACCTTCCTCTAAAGATTTTTGAGTTTTGATGAACAAAACAACCATTCATCCTTTCCTGACATCGCACAGCTCTGATCTAGTTTTGTTGAAAAGAACAGCAACTCAATGGCTTTGCTCCGATAGTCGCAATGCACATTAGATCTAGTTTCCGAAGCGCACCTATTATATATAAAAACTCCTTACTAAGCAAGACAATTTCATCTCCTGACAAATGAGATTGGACTCAAACCAAACAAAAGAATTGCCATGAGCTACCTATGCATGTTGTACCCATGGCATAAGGATATGAATAGAACGACGATGATGGTCCGAGCATTCGAAAATTCCGTCCCTCAGACTATTGGAATAATTGAACTTGACGTTATCGGGCCATACCAATTTAAGATCAATTTGAATGTGGTGCATATCGAGGCATCGTTCACTTTCCTATTGGGAATACTTTGGTTCCATGCAGCAAGGCCCTTCCCCATAAAGCCCATCTACGCTACACCAAAGGATAAAGTTTGTTTATCGACGACCAGCTAGTCACTATCTTGGTTGATGATGAAGAAGTGGGCTCAAGAAAGGTAAAAGTTGTGCAAAATGTAGGGTCGAGACTTCCATTCCTATCGTATTACTTCGAAACAATCAATTGTACACCCTTGATGCAAGGCCATCAAAAAGATAAAGACGAGCTCACCCGGATGGAAAATGCTAGTGAAGATGAAATTTCACCCCCTATTTGAGTAAGGTTGGGTCTAGGGATTAGCTTACAAGGAAGGCTTATGCCAGTAACTCCGTCAAAGCACGATCCCACTTTACTTAGTAAGGCTTAGGAACGATGCTGGCAAATAATTGTTGAATAGAGTGACAAACCTCGCAGACCAATTTCCTCTGCGGAGTGTATACCGTCCGAGTTGCTGCCCGAAGGACCAAACCTGACTACTGAACGAGACAAGCTTGGTATATTGTCTTCCTTTTAGCAACAAACGGTAGTCACATTGCAATTATTCCACCAGTACGGATCATTCTATTCGGATGCAATAGTGTAGTAGAAACTGCAGATCGGTCGGCATGAGATGTAGGTTCTTGATTAACAGTCTTCTTTTTTCATTATCTTTTTTTTCCAAAAAAAAACAATTCCTACCATTATAAAAGAGAAAATGAAAGCAATAAGCTTCATCTTCATCTTCTAACTGCCGCATTCCAACAATTTGATGGAACTCCATTAATCTAGTTGTAAAGCTAGGATAATATTGAAAGCACTGATGAATGGTAAAAGACACTACTTGATGGTGATGGATCCAAGGTCGTCCCAATCAAAGATGGTAAGGAGTAACACCAATATCATTCACTGTATGTATGCCTCTCCGCAATCCACGAACATCTGTAGCATGTTGTACCTAAGGTTTATTTGAGTTGTGCCCGTTACACCATGGATCTCGAGCTACCTATGCATGTCCTAGTTATGAATAGGAAAACCGTCCAGCCTTTCACACCTACTACGTAAAAGGGGATGTGTTGTTGGCTGCTTCAACCCCATTTTTGCACAACATCGATCCTCTCACCTACTTCCTCAAACGGTGGAACACTGAATGCCCAAGCAATTACACGTTGATTTCATACTCCTTCAGTAGTGCTAACAACCATTCAGTGAATTGTCTTGTGTTATTGCCTTTCAAGACGTTCACTGAATCCTTCTCAATGTTTTGGTGCAGGTACCAGCACATCGAAGGCTTAGAAAACTGTTGGACCCCAATGTTATTATGAAGGGCCATCTGCCCAAGTTAGGAGACCCCGAAAGGACCAGACATACACCACCCGCTAAAGCAAACTGTAAATAAAACAAGCCATATAGCTAGCAAGTAAGGGATAGAGGATGGATTTGTCCAGGGCATGTGAACTTCCTTATATATTCAACCAGTATTGTGAAAAGCGAATCTAAGCCAGCACCTACACGAAAAGCGAAGCGAAGCGAGCCTTGGTCGCCTTGAACATCCAAAGTAAAGCGAGGTTAAGTAAAGCCAAAAAAAAACAAGTTTAGGCGACGAAGCGAAGAAGCAAGTCAGGCAAGAAAAATGAACACCTACAGTTTTTTTATTTCTCCTCCTCCTCCTTTAACATTAAACAAACCCTAGCAGAGATGATATTATGTATATATGTATAAAATAAATTGATTGATTCATATAACAGTATCAAATGACAATCTGTCTTATTATGATTAGATAATGTTGAATGCTTTGTTTTTTGATGTGAAAGCTCTTGTTAATCAATTTGCTTGGTTAATCAAATTGATTAATCAATTTGCTATATGCTCTATTTGATTAATTAATTTGTGAGTGCTTTATTTAGTGATGATATCAATCAATCACGGTGGAAGTTAAACTCACATTTGCTAACTTTACATTTAGATGACGTTATTATGTCAATTGATTATTTTTAAAATACAATAATGTTTAATATTTAATATCTTGTCTATTTAAAATATATTGATGTTTTATTATTTTAATTGCATTTAAATATTTTATATTTGTAAAGTTAAAACTTGAATATTTAGGAGTAATCAAAGTATGAAATTAAAATACTTGCTTATTTTTTATTTTGTTTGCTTTGCTTCAATAAAGTACTTGCTTCGCTTCTTGCCTAGACCCTCAGAAAACCGGTTCACTTCGCTTCGTTTTACAACTTAAATAACATTGTATTCAACCACATGTTGCAAGCAGGTGTGAAAGGATATTTTGGCCTCAGTTATTCTTCTTTGAAATATTGATTTTATCAATCATTCCATTTTAGAATCGAGTCCCCCTTGAATATAAGTAAGACCCCATGATTCCTTAAACTAACTCCTAGCCCTACCCAGTGGAACCGAATGGGGGTATTTGGCATGGGTAGAGAGAGCATCTAAAGGGTTGTTTCACCAAAGGTGATCACAAACCGATCGAGGCAATCACTGGCTACAACGTAATGTCATAATCGATGGAATTTGGATTGATTCTATTCAGGCGACAGGCCACACCCGCTTGGAGCCCCACCAACATTTTCTATACAGTTGCATAACCATAAGTCGCCAGTCTGGCCCCTATCCCACAAAGTAGCTTGATGGCCAAACCATTCCCAAGGCGAATAATGCCTTAGGGGCCGACCCATGGATACTCCCGCGTAGTAGCAGCGGACTGAGTCAGTACTTTGCCTACGAGAGGCGCATTCATATGCCTTTCGAGGCTTTCCCTTGTAAAATATTCTCGAGTAAGAAAGCAAAACCTCTCCTCTTTATGTTGCTAAACACAAAACACGATTTTAGATCCACTAGAACATAAAGATCTACTAGACTACAAACAAAGAAGTTGGCAGCAATAAAACAGACTCGAAACCACTACAGACAGTAACCTACAATAATCAGTCTACCTACGGTACGTTGTAGAGAGAGGTTTGACTCCACATTTCTGCTAAATAATTCCAAAGTGACAAGACGAGTGAATAAAGGTGTTGTAAGCGGGTAGTGAATACTTGTTCTGTGGAGACAAACCCCTCCAACAGAAACATTTTCTCACTATAAACTGAACTCGTTGTGAACCTCTTAGATTATTAGTAACATCTCATGAAGTAGTCCACTTTTTTTACAAAAAAGTGGATACATGCTCCTTTTCTTGATATTATATTAGTCAAGTCTAAACTAAAGGCCCTTAACTTATATAATAGAAGGTAAGGCAGTCAAGCCCTATCGTTGTAACGCTACTACTTGGTGGGAATAAAAAGGCGGTACCCCTATTACAACACAATGCAAGTTCAGTTGACGAACTACTTTTCCCTAGGGGAGGAATCATTTTTGTAGTCAAATAAATTTATACACAACTCGCAGGAAGCTAAGAAGAGTCTTAGCCCAACAACAACATGAATAGCAGTTTTAGTAGTTCGTTAATATTTTGTTACTAATCTATTTATGGTAAAGGAAGCTTTTCACCTGGCTAACACACAAAAAAAACCAGTCGAGCCTCTCTCTTTATTTCAATAAAAGCCTTCATGCTCGCATTCTATGGGGAATTTATTTCACTATTTACCTTCACTTCAAAGCTGAAAGCGAAGGGCGAAAACTCCACAACTAGTAAAGGGTGCTTGTGTTGTGGTTTTGAGTTCCTTGGTTTGCGTTCTATAAAGTAACCATTGGACGAAAGTGGGGAACATTCTCTATCAAATAATGATGGAGGGGTTCCTAGTCTCTAATCTCATTTTTGCTGAGCCTGATTCTCTATAGTATAGAAGTCTTTGATTGGATAGAGACAAATATATAGAAAGTGTGCAATGAGGGATCTTTCTAGATAGCCAGTTTTACTTAATTCGACCCAAGCTTGACCAGTAATGCTCAAACACTCCCATGCCTTTCTTGGTTGGACCAACCGAACCAGTGATTCCCGTCTTCCTAAATTGGGATAGCAAAAAAAAGTCTCTTTTCGGGGGGAACAGGGCAGTCAAAGAATGAACCAAACCAAATGATTATTCTAGAATGGCTATTCTTCACAATTGCTCCTTGTGATGCAGCAGAACCATGGCAATTAGCATCTCAAGAGGTAGCAACACCTATAATGCAAGGAATAATAGACTTACATCACAATATCTTTTTCTTCCTCATTCTGATTCTGGTTTTTGTATCACAGATCTTGGTTCACGCTTTATGACATTTCCACTGTCAAAAAAATCCAATCCCGCAAGGATTGTTCATGGAACTACTATTGAAATTCTTCATACCATATTTCTTAGTATCATCCCAATGTTAATTGCTATACCATCATTTGCTCTATTATACTCCATGGAAGAGGTAGTAGGAGATCCAGCCATTACTATCAAAGCTATCATTCTTTTTCGAGGAGCACAATCATGGCACTTCCAACGCCTTCATCGGGGCAAAAGCGGGCAAGGGGAGTCGCCAGGCCGTACTCTATGGTAGTTGACTTCCCCTTTGGCCAACTACGAGAGAAGAAGAATTTTGGAAGCAATCCCTTTCTACTATTTGATGATTGCTTCAATCAAGAATGGGTTGTGCATTCAATCATCGTGTCTTTCTATGAACAAGGGAACCTATTAATTATATGGCCACCGCTACGAGAGCGCTCAAAAAAAAAAGAACCCAAAAAAGGTGTTGAAATGGTTGAGGCGTCGGAAAGAGCCCATGCGCTCAGATATCGAATTGCTCAGAACCCACTACCTAAAAAGCACAGATACAGATACAGATACGGATACGAGTGTCGTACCCGATACGATACGGAAAGGGGATACAATAAAATCCCAAAATATAAAACACTCATACGGCAAAAATATGACTAATTAAAATAAATATACATTTTTATATATATAACAACATTAATAATAACAAACAAGTCATAGCAAGGACCCATAAAAAAAATCAAATAAATGACTAAAAAAAATCTAGATAACAACAAAATTATTAAACTAACAAAACTCCCTCAAAAAAAAAAAAGAATCATTGATTCGAGTTCGAGCAAGGATTTTCAATCGCACCAAGGATGTTCGAGTTTGAGCAAGCAGCAAAAATGTTCGAGTTCGATCGCAGTAAAGCAAACAACAGATCTGGAGAGGCTTGAGTTCGATCGAAGCCTTTGGTTGTCGAATACAGATGTTCAAGCCTTTGGTTACAGATCTAGCGGACAGGAGACTCTCCTCTTATCTCTCTATCGCGAATATGGATTGGTGGGAAGTTTGATCGAACAAGACACTCTTCTCTCTCTCGATCGAACATAACATAGTTCGATCAAAACGAACAGAACACTCTTCTCAATCGATCGATCGAAGTCTTTTGTTTTGCCTTTTTTATTTTTTTTTCCAACACTAAAAACAACGTCGTTTTAGCATGTTTATTCTTTTTTATTTTCATTTCAACCTTTCAATTTTGTAAAATATCAAATTGAACCCCATCATATCTCCCGTATCTCTTCCGTCTCCCTACGTATCCAGGAAGTATCCAAAACATATCCGGTCCCAAAGAAGACTTCTCTCCTATTCAAGATACTTTTGGAAGTATTGAACACGTGTCCGACCTCCGGATATGCGTATTTGTGTCTGATATGCATACGACACTGCCACAGCGACCCCCCCTAAAGTATTTGTGCTTCCTAGCCCACTACCTTTTCGATAACAAAGATTTCAATCAAGAGATTAATCCGAAATGAGTGATTCATGCCGCTGGCTGCCCACCTCTTTTGAACTCACGTTAGGCAAAGGGCCACTTGTCAAAATGGGAAGTTTTACGTTCTTTTGATCTATTAGCAGTAACGGATTTTTTTTGATGTCGTTTCAGGGAATAAAAATCAAATACAAAGGTTGTTCAATTTAGAGACGACATTTGTTTGGGGGTTCTCAGGTCTTAAAACAAATGCCTTTCTAGCCCCCCACGTACCTGGAGAGCCATCTATGTTTGTCCAATTTTCTACAGGACACAATCTCTAGGATATCTCTCATCTTGGCCTTTGTTCGCTCTATCACATCACTTTGTGGTGTGGTACTGTTCTAACAAGGTATACCCAAGAAAGAAGTTTAGTAACTACACACTTCTCGATGACGATATTTTCATCGAAGACACCACGATTGTGGACGTTTATAAGAATGTTATCAATTGCTTAGGGGTCATCAAAATCGAAGTATTTGCTCTCTAATAAGGTGGTCTTGAGTTCACAAAGAAATTCTAAATTCATAATCGTGAGCTATCCCCGATTAGTGTCAAAATGATACAATTAGTGAGGCATGCGATTGCATGGATACCGATGTTTCAAAATCTTAGACTGACATCTCCGCAGCTCTTTATGAGAGTTCTTGAATCTGATTTTGGTAGATATTCTGCAAAACCAGAGCAACTAGTCCTCATTATAATAGACACCGGTATCGCCACATCCTTGTGGCGTTCTCTCCTATTGGTATCCTACCACTTCCATTTCAAGTTTGGTTAGGGTTCCCATATGGAATAGTAATCACTTGTTATCATATGAGTATGGTGCGAGACATGCTTGTGTCTTTGTGTTCTCCAGATTGGAGTTATGTGAAGCGATTTGTCATTGATCTCAATTTGAGGCTCAATGAGGACACCGACTTCCTGATAGAAAATCTTTTTTATTGGGTTAAAGCCTTTTTTATGGCCATAAGTTATAATATTTTCTTAAAATTGATAGATTTTTGGTTTATTTTGCCTCGACAAAAGTAGGTACTTATGAAGGATTTGGCAAATATAAAACTGGCAAATGACAAAAATTTCTGAAATTTCAATGGAAGTTCACAAAAAAACTGTTGAAAAGTCATTTAATTTAGGTCCTATGTTACACACTACCCTAATATAGGAGTTATATTAATTGAACAATTGTTCAATTAATCTCTTGTTCTTAACTTAATTCATGCTTCTCGGTTATGCCTGCCAAATGTTTGATTCCCAAGGGGGTACACACACCAAGAAAGTGAGGTTAAAGTTTTGTGCGTCATTTTGCCATAATTTAATACCATTTTTGGAAGTACCGAGTGGCGGAGGGCACAAAATGTTATCTGGATCGCTTTGGTACGTGATACGGGTATATGGATGCACAGTATGACACTTTCTTATGTATACAGTACGATAGAGTAGGCTTAACTAATATGATATTTTAGGTCGCAATTTATTTTGAAACTCTTATCTAGATCGTTTTTACCACTTTACAATATTATATAGCATAGAACATCCTAAACACTAAGTCAATTAGCCTTTATCTTACATTTGTGCTCGATTTTCTATTAGTTAAAATAATATATAATTATAAATTTATATACACGTAGTTAATTAATATGTATTTTATATTTATGCTACGTGTATAATTTGGGATCATACATTTTGGTGAACTGGATTGCGAATCCACCCCGTTTGGGTTCGATATACCCAGATCTTGAGTCGTTAGAGAATTAGTAAATTTTGGAAACTATTGGCACAACTATGGAGAATGGTTCTTAGCCTAGGTGTTCGACAATGGTAGTTAAGGGTATGGGCAATGTTATTGAAGGCGTAAAGCAAACCAAACCAAAGCGGACCAATCTCCTGAGGCCTAGGCGAGATGCGCGAACGCTTCATCTAGTGAAGCAAACAGCAAATATTTTAGTTTAATTATTTTTAAATATTTAAGTTATAATTTCACAAATACTAAATATTCAAATGCAACCAAAATCATGAACATTTAAATTCAAACAAACACAAATAATGTCTTAAATCTTAAGGGCAACCATAGCACAAACATTATATTCAAAAAAAATACTAATAATATCACAAATCCTAATATTTGAAAACATAAAAAACACAATTCAAGCAACTAAATATTTAGAAGAGGAGAAGAAAAGGAGATGCATTGTTCCAGTAAGAAAAAGAGAAGAAACAAAAAAAAAAAAAACACAGAGTTCCGGTAGGACCATCACGGAAGAAGAAAGAGAGGAGAAGAAGCAACAAATCTGGAAGCAAATTCAGGGTCGAATGGATGACTTAGTAAATTTGTCACAAAAGAAGAGAACATACCTGTCTATGCAGTGACTTCTGATCTCTAGAGCAAATTCAGAGTAGATTAGGGCTTAGTAGTTAGAGGGCAATCGACTGTAATGGGCATATCAATAGTCGACGCAGAGAGAAAGCTGAGAACTCAAAATTTTGATTCAATAACAATAGGCCAACCCGTATGTCTGTTCACGACTTCCAAAATTTTGATATTTAGTCCTTTAGTTAATCAATCTCCAGTAGCAAACTTTCCAAGTTCTCCCGTGAGTTCAGTCCACAAAATCTGAAATTAGTTCTATATTCAAAAAATAATTAGCAAAAAATAGCAGCACAAAACAATCACTATCACCATATATTATAGATACACAACTCAAATAGTGTCAGAGTGAAGAGAGTGAATGAATAGATACCTGCCAAGTGAGGGAAATGCAAGAGGGTATTAAAGCAAAACCATCAGCCTACTACCTCAGCGAAAAGGGATGAAAGTGAATGAATAGATTGACCATGGTGGTGAGATGATCGATAGACGGCGATGAGAGTCAGAATATCTAGGTATGTAGAGAGAGAGCGAGAGATGAGTGAGAGACACGGAGAGAGGCTGGGAAGTGAGACCTGAGGCTCGAGCGATTAGCTATTAGGGCTAAAATGCCCAAAAAATCTGAATTTATAGGACTTTATTTGAGCCGCCCCGGTTTGATGCTAACCTCCGGTTTTGAACGGTCTACTCGAACACCTACAGGTTCAATAAGTTGTATGCAGGTTTGATATTCAAACCATCTAAATGTGATTCTCCCGCTAACCAATGCAAATGGGAGTGTCAATTTTATCCATTAACACAAAATTTAAAAATAACACAATTAGTTAATACAAATAATAAATGGGTCCAATTAAAATTCGACACAAATAACATGATTAACGGACATTGTAAACAAAAAATAAATATTTAATGCATAATTTTAAAATCTGGCCCGAACATCAACCTTGGAAAATGATCGGGTCAATGGTTCAACTATTGGGTTATTAGTCAAAGTGGTAATATAATTAAAAATAATTATTAATGATAATAAATAGGCTACAAATTCATAATAATTATAAAAATATCATGCTTAATGTATATTAGATGAAACAAAAGCCTCAAAATCATCAAACATGAATCCACTTTCTTCTCTATTGTTTTTAGTTTTTCAGTATTTAATTTTTTTGTGGCGGAGGGGTTACAAATCATTCTTAATTATGGAAAAATATGAGAAACACTCATAAACAGGCATTGAACTCACATCAGCATATGACATACATTTCTGATGGTGTAATTGTACTTGACAAATTGGGCCTGAGTTTCTAGGTTTATGAGGACCGTGATAAAGAATTCTCAAAGAATGAATTAGGGGGGGGGGGGGGATCTGCGCAGTGAAGATAAAGTGGTTCACCAGCTCAGG